GCCCGGGTGCCGCCTCCCCGCTCCGGCTCCTTCCCCGGCCCGCCGGCAGAGGGAGACGGGCCCACGCCTGGGGAGAGCCGGGCTCTTCGGGAGGGAAGGGCGTCCCGGCTCCGCACCCCCGAATCCATGCGGATCGTGGGGTGGGAAAGGCTCCGGGGGCCGGTGCCGCCCTCTCTCCCTGACCCCCGAAAGCTGCCTCCTGCTCGGCTTCCCTCCCAGAGGGTCCAGAGCGGAGCCGAAGCTCCTCCGCACGTCGGCCGTTCTTCTGGGGAGCTTCAGACGTCTCCACCACGCTTCCCAGCCGGCCCCCGAGATTCCCCGGGGATGCTGTTCACAACTTCCCCTTCTACCCTTGTACGACACAGCCCAACGTTTTGTCTCGGCGCAGAAGGAAATCCATGTTGGAGCAGAAATTCCTGTAGGGAGAGAGAGAGAGAGAGAGAGAGAGAGAGAGGAGGGAGCATCAGCAACCGCCCACAGAGGAACCCCAAGTACCAGCTGGGCTGCAGGACTTGGCTTTTTGATTTGGGACCAGGGGTTTCGGGTGGGACAGGCCAAGGCACAAAAGCAGTGGGGCGCCCACCGGAGCCGATCGGATTTTCTCCCTGAGTTCAGCTGCAGGGATACCAAAAATAAAAACCCCAAATTTTTCGGCTTTGTGATTCCAACCCGGGGTCCGGCGCTGCTGGGAAACTGCAGCTCTTCCCCAAAGCCAAGTCCAAATAAGGGCTGCAAATACTGTCCCGGCGGCCGCCGCCGCCTCTCCAGCCCACCCGAGGAGCCCCAGCCAAAGCTTTTTGTGGAGATGCCCATGGAGGGGGGAAACAATGGGAGATGAAACACGTCTCCCCTTTCCAACTTCTCCCCCTGCCGAAAGATAAGGCAATCTTTTGCTGGGAATTCGCCCCAAAAGCAAGAGGCTCCAGCAGATTTGGATAACTAGATCGGCCTCCGCACTTTAAATTCCCTCTCGGGGCCACCTGCCCTCGTAGCCAGACACTTCCCGCTCCCCTACATCCATCTGGCACAGCACGTTTCCATCTCCCTCCCGGCACGAGAGGTTCTGCTCTGTAAATCACCGCTGCGGGGAGGCTGGAAACCCTCCGCCCTAAGTCGGTGGCAGGGCTGAGTCTGTCCGGGCAGCCGGCAGGACATGCGGGGCAGCTGCCTGCAGATCTGTTTTGGCCGCTGAGTCACGGAAAGGCGAGCCGTGACCTTAAACGCTCATTCGGTACAAGTCCTCTGCCATCGGCAGGATGTCCTCAGCGTCACCTCCGGTCCCCGCGTATTGTGTGCGGGCAGCATCTGCTCTGGACGCGGCCGCTGGTCAAACGCTTTTCACCCCAAGGGTCTCCGTCACGCTGCTCCGGAGCCGAGCGCAGCCCTGCGGGACCACAGCCCCATCCGTGGGGACGTGGCAGGGCCGGGGTCAACCCAAAAACAAGATATAAAATCAAACGAGCAGGGTGCAAGGCCCAGCACAGGCTCACCTAAAGCCCAGCCAGCCTAAGCAGGGAGCGGGGTGGGAGCCTAAATGCAGCCCCGGGGCCAGGTGGGGAGGGGACGTGGGCGGCGGAGACCCCAGGTGGGGCTGGTTGGGGCGATGAGCCCCCACCGGCCCTGGGGTCCTGCTGGGGGTGAGGGCAGAGGGGTGGGCTGGGCTGTCACGCCACGGCGGGGACTCCTGCTCTAATGTCACCTCCCTCCCACCGCGGCCAGCCCCCCGTGCCCCGCTCCCTGTCCCACAGCCAGCCCTGCCCCTGCATCCCCCCTCCTGTGCCCTGTGTCCCCAGCACTGTCCCCTCCTCTGCCCCACAGCCCTGCTGCAGCCATGTCCCTGGGACTGTGTCCTGTGTCCCCAGCCTTGTGTCCCGTGTCCCCGGGACTGTGTCCATCTCCCCAGCCTTGTGTCTTGTGTCCCCAGTCTTGTGTCCCATGTCCCTGGGACTGTGTCCCGTGTCCCCAGCCCTGTGTCCTGTGTCCCCAGCCTTGTGTCCTATATCCCCAACCCCATGTCCAGTGTCCCCGTCCTGTGTCCCATGTCCCCAGCCCTGTGTCCTGTATCCCCAACCCTGTTGTGTCCCCAGCCTGTGT